CGCAGCGCATGGATGACCCCCAGTTGGCAGCAAGAAGTGAACCTCATGATCTCATGGCATACAGCTATCAGACTAGCGATCATACATCAGTTGGATTGATAGGATTTGGGTGACTGATCGAATGACTCGATGTCCTTGTCCCTCCATTTTTGGAACATGCTTTTGCACCAACTTCCAGAGTTTCTGCGCCGGAACTTTTTTTTGAGGGTTCTTGCGTTCGACCGTCTCTATCTTAGGGGGAATGTTAATGGGGAAACAACTGGTTATGTTAGGGGGAATGGGTAGTTTTTGGCTATTTCCATCTCAATCCCTAAAAAATTGTCTCCCGAAACCTCTTGGCTCCAATCCCAAGCTTATGTAGGAAGTTCAAAGAGATCCCAAAACGAGTCGAGCAACGTTGGGATTTCAATCCTTCGCTGCGCATGTTTTTCCCCAAAGACCCAGCGGGCCGAGCAACCGACGGCACTCCGTCAACCAACGCGCCGTCGACCGACGGGACTCCGCGCCTCGCGCGTCGCCAGGTCCAACAAAACACCTGAGGTGGCATCCACGAGGAAGGAACTGCAGCGCGCCTGGCAGTTGTTTCTGCGATGCGTTTTCTTCAGGACCGAGCAAAAAGTGAAACATATTCCCCAGGTTTTGAGGATTCACATGGATTCACCCACAGGAAAAGTATATTGTACAAAATCAGCTTCAGCAAAACCAGGCTTACCACGACCTCACGTTTTGGTGGTTGGGGTCTCTACCGAAATGGATGGAGCCCATCGATCAGGAGGGCGAAGCTGACCAGGGTCTCCCCAAGTGGCGGAGGGCTGGACTTGATTGGCATCGGGGTGGTTGAACAGGTGTGAACTGGATCCAGGTGTCTTAGAATGTCTTAGGCAAATGAGGGTCCAAATAAACCTTTTGGGGATATTTGATATTTGATATTGACCGGTGTTAACTAAACTTTCAGAAGGGGGGGTGAGGGGGGGTGAAGGCGTGCATATTGATGTAGAAACGCGCGTGACTTTTTTAAACTCTCTGCTTCAAAGCCTTCTATCTAGTGATCAAACTATCAAAATTACAATATGAACAAGCCATATATCATAGGGATCCCTTGAGACCCCTTTGCCTGTGACCCCCATCACAGGAGGTGAACCTTTGATCAACTCATATCCACTCATTTCCACTTATATCAACTCATTACAACTCATAACCACTCATATCAACTTTTAACCACTCATATCAACTCATGTCACCATTCTCACTACCTTCACCATTGGAACACCACTCGTTACCACTCATAACTGCTTTTAGCAGGTTCTTGAATGCCAGAAGCTCGGCTCAAAATGGATGAGCTGACAGAGATAGATTTTGAAACAGAATCTGTCGTCATCCTGCAAAAGGCCCGCTTAAGGGTGTGGACACCGAAGCAGGTGGGCCATGTCCAATGTCAATGGGCAGCGGTGGACCTTTTTGCTGTGATTCGCCACGAAGAAGCTGTGCTTACTTCTAAGGAGAAGCACAAACAACGATGCCCGGCCACTACTTTCAATCACTGATGCCAATGATTTCCCCACAACTACTACAGCTAAAACAGGCACCCTAAGTCTTGTTGCTGGGAAATGAAACCAACATCCACTGACTGAGGAAACAAGCTAAACGAAAGGATGAAGCAAATCAGGGACCTCCACAACATGATCTGGCCAGGAGAAGTTCCTTTGGTGCTAGATCCAATCAAAGCTACCAGAAAAAAAGACCAAACAGGCTCCATGGAATACTCGTTTATGCAACTTTTAAAATTAGGTTTGGTTTTTACTCCTGGAGGCCAAACAGGTCCATACACCACTGGAGGCCCACTTGTCCATCCAAGGCTGGTGGCCCTAAGCCAATCTTTGAGGAGAAGACCTTTCCCACATCTATGATGTTCTCAATGGTGGCATGGGCTCTAACTTCAAACAAGGTGAAGCGTGAAGCACGGGTTCGAACACATGAGGTGTTGTCAAACATCATTGACCGATGTGTTCACTTGGGATGCTTTCAAATCACAGTCAGCCCCGAGTTCCAACAAGGACCGGTTTCGTGTTCTTTTCTTTGTTTGGTCTTTCTGGTCAAAGAAAAACGCAAACATGGAGACTTCAGTTGATTGGTCCCAATCAGCTGGCCCTCAGCACCCCACTAGGAATGCCACAGATGAGCTTCGTTATGCACCCCAATGATCCCTTTCCTCTTCACTGGATTTGCCACTACGAAGATGCTGGGTTCATCCTCAGAATGTGGGGCGATGAGCTTCTAGCCCCTGGGTTCAATGGCAAAACCATTATAAATTCTATAAATTAATTCTGCCCTACTGCTGATGTTTGACAATTTGAGTAGTCGTATTGGGCCCATCATGACTGACCCTGCGCAATATACTGCTCAGGACTCAGATCGGCCTTGGGTGTCTTCGCCCGCTACAAGCTCCACCCTGGCATCTGTGATTGTTTTTTTGCATGGATCCGTGACTGAGCTAAGTCTAGTCGTCGCGGTTGAGCTTTGCTCACTGGCTCTGATGGACTCGTCATTGAGTCAACCATTGAATGACTTTTTAAAGGTTCAACTCCTTCAACTTTGATTGAATGCGAAGTCTTGTGTGGATTCAATCCACTAACTAGTAATAAATAATTGGACGACCCACCTGATGTAATAAACTATTGGATTCTGAGGACACATCATCATGCAAACCAACAACATCGCCGGACTTCTTGGCAACGCGTGAGGGAGAAGGCTTTGAGTTTGCTTTCCCAAGTTGCGGCCTTTCTAGTTCCCAGGCCGCACATGGGCTAACAGGATGACTCAATGACATGATGGCTACATCCGACATCAAATAAGAACTCAGGATCAATCGGATGACCAATTCAATTCTAATTCTCGGTCGTCAGTAGGTGTCATGTCATGTCTGTTCATGGTGGCAGGACAACAGTCAGGGCTTACTGTTCACTGTTACTTTGGTCGTGACGGTTACCGGTTGTCTGGACTTATATTGTATCAGTCAGTCTGTGACCCTAAGGATTCCAACTGCCACCTTCTTTCGGAAGGGGGGGCGGGCGAGGAGGCCGAGACAACGATTGACCATCCAAGAGAAGTTCGCGCTGGTTTCCCAGGTTCGGGATGGAAGGCCGCTGGTCAATCAATGTCAGAATCATTAGACATCAAAATAAAGTGCAATAATGAGTCAACATTCAATTGAGTTAGAGATATTTCATGAACTTTCAGTCTAGTCAGTCGGCCTTCATGCCCAAAGCTCACGCATTCAGCCATTCACGCGCAGGTTCTATACCTTGGCCAAGTCGATGATCGACGCAAGGGTCAAGCTGTGCCCCAACTACTTGGCCCGATGGGAAATGGTCAGGGGCCCAAACTTGTCTGTTTGTAGGCCATGCTCCAGGATTCAATGAGGTTGAGTTCTTGCCCATTGGTAAGTAATCAAAACTAGTTGGTAAGAAATCAAACGCAAACAGCGATCTTTGCCCCAAAAAATGTTTGAGGCTGTGTACTTGAAGAAGGCCCAGAACATCTTTGAGACAACTTCGCACCTTCACGCGGCTCAGCTCCCAAATTCAGCAGGATCCAGCATCACATGAAGTAACATGTTTCCTGGTTGGGCTTCAACACCAGACTAACACATGACCAGGATGGCAATTCCTATTTTGGATTATTTCCAAGGTCCTTTTTGATGGCTCTGCTGTCCAGAAGGTGCCTGTGGAAGCTTACAAGGTTTACAGCTCCTTGGCTGCACGCCAAAGGAAAAATCTTACCTCCTTTAACTGTCCTACACTTGTTTCACCAAGTACTTCGTCAGATGATTATCCCAAGTACACTTTTCACCTGCACTCTCACCAAGTACTAGTACACAAAGTTGCTCCTAGCCTAAACCTGGCTTATTTGCTTATCCCCAAGGTTCCAAGTACAGCCTGGGAGCGTATGCCCCGCCACTTGTTGCTTGGCATCGAAAGTGGCCGTTGGGAAGATGGGTCAATGCAGGTCTGATTGGGTTCATTCATGAGCCGCTTATCAATCAAGTGAACTTGTGGCTGTCACGTCATTATCACGCATCGTTTTTGGCAGTGAAATTGGAGTCAGTCTGTCACAGGAATTGCGAGCAACCCCTTCCGAACAGGGTTTCCCATTCTTTTTGAAAAGCAGGAACCCTGACCCTTTTGTTGACGCGTTTTTGATTGTCACCGCCGCGATGATCGACTGCAATGGTGACCTTGACGTCCATGACATTGACATGGACCGTGTTACTGCGATTGGCTTTGAAGATGGGGCTTCTTCGACATGCACTATGACAGACGTGAACGAGTTGCCAGGGACAAAAAAGCGTAGCATTTGGGGAGGACCGGAGGGTATAAATGAAAGTCATCACCAATAATGAAACTCCAAAGCAAGTAAAAAGGGACAATCGTCTAATGACAAGACACAAACGACTGCTGACTGACTGACAGACAGAGGCCTAGGAATATTAAGCTCCAAGGTCCAGGGTCCCTGTGAGTCAGTGGTAGGGTTGAAGTTCCATCTAATGTTTATTCCATACATTAATGAGGTGAATATGTATTTGACTGAAAGAGAGTGACACGACTGACAGCACTGTTACTGTTGAAGTTCAAAAGTACTGACTGTGAGGTTCCTTTGAATGAAATCGTATTTGGTCAGGATCATGACTGGGGTCGACTACAGCGAGCGGCTAATTCCATTGACACTGCTTGGCGCCATATTCACAGCATTATGCCAAGTGAGGTCTTGAACGAGCCTCATCCAAAGATAGACCGCATTGCTTGTCCTGTGCTGGGCAAAGCAAAGCAGATAACTTTTGTGTTTTTATGTGTACCCCCTTTAATCCCTATTGATTTTTCTGCAGCTATTAACTGAATGCACTTGACTGACTGTTTGGGAGTGAGTGGATTGCCGCTTAGGAGTCATGGCTTCGACACGCTGCTGGCGCAACCTCTTTCTGCACTGGCGGCGGCACTGCAGAAATGTCCAGGGCATTGCTGGAGGCGAGCGTTAACAGATCAGGGCTTGTGGATTTCACTGTAAGCATTCCGACTGTTGCTATGTGGGAGACTCGACTTGGTTCAATTCATTTTTTTTAACAGTCTGATACTACCAAACTCTGACGCAATGACTATACTAAACAATTGTTCAATTTTAAAAAATCTGATCTTGTGACATTACAGCACGACAAAGCACTACTGTCTGACTGTTTGTTAGAGTCAGTCAGTCAGTCAGTCTGTCTCTCAATAGTCATCTTTGTATTCTGTGATTTGACATTGGCATTCTCAGGAGAGAGACCAAAAATGCGAGGCAGTGATTTCAGATGCCATGAGGTGGGCTAACCAAGTCACTGGGCATTCATCTGGTGCCTGCCTTTTTGGGGACATTGAAGAGCTGCTTCCATACAGAACCTTTGATCCCAGCTGGACCTATTCGCGGAAGCTGCAAGCCACTCTGCAGTGTGCTGGCACTTCGCCCTGGGGTCATTGCACATTCCATGCACAAACTTGCAGTACAGGCAAGGTTTCCAGCATGGACGTATCAGGTTTGCCCTGCCCTGATATGAGCTTGGCAGGGAAGAGGAGGAAGAGGGCAGGGTCTACCAATGGTGTCTATTGTGCTCGAGGTAAGTATGTGACCCAGCACAAGGTACCCATCGTGATAACCGAATGCACACCAGTGTCTTGGTTAAGTGTTTCTGACCTTGTTTATTTTTTCTTTTGGACTGATTCTGCAATCTGTGTAATTATATTATAGAGCATTGGATAAATCATTATGTATAATAATCTGAAGACTATCTTGACCACTCACTGCACTAGTCAGTATGGCACTTTGCTAATTGTCCACTTGGATTGGCCTGTGAAAAAAGACCCCCACAAGTCGGGTTTTCCCCCTTCAAAACCTTCATTTCAAGCAGGTTGAACTGGACTTGTGGGGGTCTTTTTTTTGCAGGCCAATCCAAGTGAAAACTGCAACGGCACTTCGACTTACTGTTACTGAACCTTCAATGAATAAATTAAGGAGCTCGACATGGGCCTCATGGAAGACACCCACCCAGAGCACCATATGTTCCAGATGTTTGCAGAACCGGGAGATGTTGGTTTTGCTGCAACAGCACGCCGTCGGACGTGGGTGATCGGCATGCATCAAGACCGGTCTACCATCCGCCAAGACCCTTACGAACTTCTGGAATCTGTAAAGGGACTCTTCGCGAATGACCCGACAACAGTCCAGGACTATTTAGTCGCCTCCCGTGCAGAAGTCCTTCTAGAGGCGTCCCAGTTGGCACAGAAGCGGCGGATCCCATTTCAAGCTGACTGCTTGGATTTGACCTACCTCCTTACACAGCGCGAGAAGGAAACTGCTGCTGCTCTCAATGCAAGGTTCCAAGAGCAATTTGGAAGGAATGCTGAGTTGGAGCCTGCCCTTGTGTACCACTTGGGTGACTCGGCCACATTTGGGTCGTGGAGCGCGGTGAGTGGACGCATTCCCACCTACAGAGTTGGGGCCAAATCTTCAGTGTACTGGTTGCCACACTACAAGCGGTTTCTGACGGCCAAGGAGAAGTTGATCAGCATGGGCTGGCCATCAGTGCCAGAAATCGCATCATCTATGCACGTCCCGCTCTTTGGTGCTAGTGACCCTAGACGGGCAGGAGACCTTTTAGGCAACGCAATGCACATGCAAATCTGCGGGCTGATGCAGCTTCTGGCCCTCGTTTCCTTTTCACCAAACCTTTAAGCGGAGCAGGAAACATGCAACTGCGCTCTGATGGATGCAACCTGTTGTTTCATTCCTTTTTGGAACTCGCTGCAGCCCCAACTGGACCCTTTTTGTTTTGAAGCTCTGAGTCAATTGAGGGGCCCTACATCTTGCTTTGGCATGCTTTCAAATGGTTGCTCTATTAGCTTTTTATTATACAATGCCAAACTAGTCACTAAAGGTTAATAAGTGACGTCGACGACGACTACTACTTAATTAGTTACTACCACTGCCACTATTACTGCACTTTGGAATGTGACTGACCTCAACTCTCACTGGATTGGACCGAAGCTGCGCCTGTCTCAGACATCTGTGACATCTTAGACGTTTTGCCACGTGGCATCTCTCCAGGAAGGACCATGGCGAGTGGATTGAACCCTGTGTGGGATGGAGGGCAAGTGGTGCCAGGAGGGGACGCTATCCCTTCAGATGCTGTCAGCAATGCGTCTGGCCGGTCAAATCGCTCGAGCAATGCAGCTCGGCCAGGCGGCAGGGCAAGACGTGGGAAGGCGGAGCAGCTGTCAACCAGCTTCACGTGCTGGAAGAATACTCCAGCGACTTGAAGTATTTGGATAAACTTCTTTGGGAGTTTGGGCACAATAAATTTAACTAACTAACTTACTATTATCTCAGAATCTCCCACCTGGACTGGTCACTCACTCCGATTCTGACAATTATATTGAACAGAAGTCATCAGCAATATTATTATCGTAAAACGGAACGACCAAGGAGAATCACTTGAAAGACCTGATGGAAAAGGTAGAGCCAGTCAAAGCAGGCAAATCCTTCCTGAACACCCTGAGTAGCAAATCGCTGCGCTTGGCATTCTACGCTATGTTCAGGAAATCTCCATTTGCACCTTTGGATTCGCTCCTCGGGTTTGTTTGTTTACTAACATCTAAGACAGGTTGAAAGGACGCAAAAGGGATCACACCCAAGGCTGGTGTGAACCCTTTTGCGTCCTCTCAGCCTGTGTTGGATTAATTGTACTGTCTGTCACTGTTGCATGGCATATCCCCAAGTCAAGTAGCCCACTCATCTTACCAAATTTGATTCTGATACTTAAATTTGATTTGTTTTGTTGTCCTTTACTTACTAACATGAGCCAACAGACCCTAAAAGACAATTTGTGGACGCGACCTTTCTTATGTCTAAAAAGCTTCTAAAACAGGTTAAAAAGGGCGCGTCCAAAAATTTCCTTTTAGGAAGGTACTTGCCCTGTCGAACTATTGAAATCAAAGGTTCAACAAGACTGAACTTGGTGAGATGCTCAGCAAAGAGTACCAACGCCTTGGCTCACCTCTCAGCGGCAATGTGAACCTCAAGGAGCTGATCCAGAAGGCAGAGATCGAGCTGAGTAAGAACAGCACTTTTCAGGTGATGGGCATGAGCCACTTTGATTGAATGAAGCCAGAGTCCAGAAGCTTTCAGTCCTGTCCCATCCCACTGGCTATACTGTCAACTTTAATGCAATAAAATTGGGTGAGTTGACCTAATAAATAAAGTTGCCAAGCCAATGCAACTAAGGCAATGGCACATGGATGCTAGAATGCCAGGGGAGCGTCCGTGAATTGCCACCACCGACTCAAGGAGCAGAGTGGACTGTGCAACTGGCAGCTGGCAGCCAGATCCCTTTCGTTTCTGACGGGACCCAGAAGATGTGGGCCATGGAATTGTTCCAAAGCTCCGCTGAGGCTGCAGGCCAACCAGGCAGTGATGCGCCCAACTTGGACCAATCTGCCATGGTGGCTGGACCAGCTAATGAATCCAAAGCTCCAAGGTCTAGTTTGCCTGGTGTGGCTTCCCGCGGCTCTTCTGTATTCTTATTCTTCTTTCAGTGATTGTTTTCAGTGGATTCAGTTTTATACTGTACAATGGTTAATGCAGTGTGTGGTTCCAGAGGTCAAGAGGACACAAAATAGTGCCAACTAGATTACAGTTGGTTGACCCTATTTCATTTTATTGTGGTCTCTTCACCTCTCTTGGTCAGTGGTCGACCCGACCTAGGCTTCCCACTCAAACCAGAGCAGTCCATGATGCCGGTCTGCTACTGCCGCGAAGACAGAGCAGTCTGTGGTGCATGTGGAAGGGGATATTCCCAGGAAGTGGCGGCTGGAAGGGCTCCAAAATTCATTGAGAAGAATCAGAAGGACCTTGAAGACAAGAATAAGAAGGACAAGGATTCAAAGGACAGCTTCTTGACGTTATAAAAAGCAATCTTACTTACAAGTAGTCCTTATTAGTGAAGGTCACTGTTTCTGGGGGTTTGGGTCCGCGCGCGCGCGCGCCCCACAGGGAACCAAAAAAGCATCCAAGTGGCGCGCGCGCGCGGACCCAGAACCTATATACTGCGTCACATCAATGGTGATCATTGTCAGTGTTCACCGGTTTCATTGGGCATTTCTAATATATAGATTCTAGATGAGTGAATATTAGCTGTGAATCAACTTTTAAAGCCTTTGGCTGATACTAAAGAGCAGGTTTACTAGAGTCCATGCCACGTGTCCCAAACGATGACTTAGGCTCTCTGGTTGGCGCAGTCGTGCCCCCGAAGGTGAAGAAGGTTGCAGTGTGCAAGTGTGGGGATGAGAAAGACAAGTGCACAGTTTGCCAGGAAGGGTATCTCGAGATGACCCTTAGTGGCAAAGTCCCGCACTTTGCTGATCGCGAGGTGAAGATGAAGCGGGTTGCTGTTTGCAAGTGCGAGGAGGAGAAAGAGATTTGCGCTACTTGCAATGAGGGTTTCGTCCAGATGCTGAAGCGCGGTGAGTCTCCTCACTTCAAACTGGTGGAAGAGAATCAGACCAGCTCTGGCAATAATGAGCCTCCTCCGCCTGCCCCACTGTTGCCAAAAGGCTGGACTTGACTTGGTGACAGTAGCGCTATTGTTATAAATATAATACAATACTAACTGACTCGAGTCTGGACTGGACCTGAAACTAACTTTGAATTATTTTCAGCCATTTATCACTCCTGACCCAAATGGTTAATTTTACAATTCCTGGCTGTCAGTGTTGCCTGATAGGTGGTACCAGTACTGGTGAGACATCCGAAGAGAATAAGAAGGACGCTGAGATTATGCCTCCTCCTCCACCAGCCGCAGCTGCAGCTGCTGGAGGCTCTGATCCAATTGTCTAAAAAGCTGGTTAACTATTCACGGTACCGAACCCAATGCGCGGGTGAATCACGCAGGCCTGAAATCAAACCCAGATGAAGTTAAAAACAAATGTCGTCTCTCCTGTCAGGTGGTGATGGGGGTCCCCCTTCAAAGGAGAGCCCTTCTGGAGCTGTGGGTGGGGCTCCTTCAAAGGAGGATTCGGGCGGGGAGCCAGCTAAGAAGAAACCACGTACGGATTCCGGCACTTGGGCATGAGCTTCGGTATCAAGCTTTTTCTTTGCTGGGTTTAGCAAAACAATTGGATTTGTTCCTGTTCCTCATTGTTACGTCGGCCCGTCGATCTGAACCCACAGTTGCCCAGGTACGAAGCCACTCGCTTTCCAGGCTAAGAAGCCTTCCTGAGCTGTGCAGTGATTACGGTTGCAGCTACATAGAACTCGTCAGCCAGCGGCGGTGGGTCAGTGAGCTAGCAAAAGGGTTCTCTAGGCACACCCCTTAAGAGCTGCTATGAGCTGTTAAGAGCTCATATGAGCAGCTTGAAGCAAAGGGGGGCAGGAGCTACAAACACCTGTAATTTACAGGTATTTGGTGTGACCCCCCCAACTCTTAACAGCTCTTAACTGCTCTTAATCTCTCTTTGCATCTCAGGGTTGTTTTGGGCAGCTTTTGGGGAGCCACGTGTCACGTGTTGAGCGCCCACGCACTCACAATTTTCTTTTCTGTTTGGAGACCTGGTGACCTGGAGATGCAGGGTCGGCCTGTAATTTGACAATGGTTTTTTGAAGGCCCTACTGCCACTCCTCAAAATGATCCCTACTGCATCGAACCTAGACTCACGCGGCCCTGTTTTGAAGGCCCTCCGAAAATGTGAAGCCAACCCCAACCGAAACTGGCTCGGTTCTGATTCAGTCAGAGGGCAACGCTGGTGTGAGAGGTGCTCTGGCTACTACAAAGGGTCCTGTGACTTCTTTGCTTGGCCAGCGGCCAGGGGGCAGTGATTGATGCAAGAGTTCGCTCACTGACATTGGTTCGTGGCTCTGTTCAATATAAGGGGTGAAGGGATTTACAAATTTCAGAATAAGTTGCTCCCAAAACAGGCCCTGACATAGAACGCTTCGCTCCCAAAACCAAACCGCAGGCAAAACCGGTTGGTAATAATGCTGACTCCAAGCCATAAAAAAAACGAAGGTTGATACCAAAAAAATATAGCATAATTTGATGCAGCAAAAGGGACATAGCCAGGCCAGGTTTAAATATGTCCATGTCGACTCTGCGCCTGTTAAAACTTACTGATATTATGTGTCCTTTGAATGCGATCTTAAATTCGCCCTCTCTCTGTGACATATTAGTCCTTGACGCCTGTCTCAAATGGATATAGGTCAGGGTTTTAAACTTAACCACCACCACCCAGCAGCAGTGCAATGCAAACAACACCAAAGAACAATCAAGTAAAGTCTGGATCAATGCCTGAGGCTATTGTCAATGTTGACCGCTAGCTGCAGAGTTCAGTTTACAACAACAATGCAATCCCTCCAGTCACGTGGAATCACTGCGTCAGAGTGAGTGGTCTGATATAGATGTATGACATATCTTTGTTGATCGTGGCTCGCGAACCTAACTCCATGTTTCTGTGTTTCAACCACTGCTGTTTGTGAAACATCTCAACAAAAGAGCAACAACAACAACGACGACCACAGTCAGGGCAGGCAGTGAGCCACTGATTAGAGGGATAGACTATGAACTATGGCAATGGCAGGCATTGGCAAGCGATTCCAGTTTAACAATATTTAAAGGACTCCATTATCATTAGTGATTCAATGATATTTATATATATCTTAGAATATGATTTGTTTGGTCCATGCCATTGGTCCAGGTCCATTGAACGACTTGCTAAAATTGCCGCTGTGCCAGGGCACTTGGACTCTTCAGGACCTGCCACACCGTGTAGATCCTGTCCTGGCCGGTTTAAAAATCGACTGCGCGAGGTATGATGCCAACCATGCATGAATACCGAATACCAATTCTGTTTGTTTGTGTTGTCGTGCAATGATTGCCAATAGCCTTCAGTGATTCAGATCCTACAGCTAGGCTTGTAAAGGCAACCCAAGTGATTGCTTTTGCTTGCGCATTCAACTTGTCTTGTTTCTTTTTTGAGTTTTAGCTGGAGGCAAATCTTCGGTCATTGGCTCGATTGCTGGGTGACTAGACAAGCCCCTGCCCCAGCAACAAACAGAGCGGAGTCAGTCCTCTAATCTAATCTGCCATCTGCCATGGAAGAAACACCGCGTCGTAATGCAGCAGAGCCTCAGGAGGATGGGCGGTTTTCTTACAGTGAACTCCGTCGTCAGTGCGGGCCAGGGTTCCCAGCTCCTGGCAACCCTGCTGCCGCGCACTGCCACCCCTCCCTTTTGAGGACACCTAAGGATTTTGAACCGCCTGTGACACACTACCCTGTTGGTCGGAGCGCGCTCCAATCTCCGCCTGCAATCTTTTTGAACAGGTTGGCTGATGTGACAATCCAGAATTCCTTCAATGGAGCTGCTGCATCCCCTACCACGCCACAGCCATGTCATGCTTGTGGAGGACCAGTACCAGTGACTGTGGCCCCAGAGGTGATCAACGTCCGTGACATGAACATGGAGACCCCGATGACCCCATTGCCAAACACCAATTCGACGAAGCTATGTTCTGACACTCCAGTGTCGTTAGGGAGAAGTGGCTACCACAAGCGAGGAAGCTGTGATGAATCATATGACTTTGTGCGGCCATTGGCTTTGAACTTTGATACCCCTAGCCCTCACATGACACCTCCGACCACAAAGGAATTCATGAAGCACATGGATGAGGAGGTTGGGAGTTCCAAGAAGCGCAAACTTGGGGAGAAATTCTATGACGACGAGGCGACGGCTGGCAAGAAGGCTAAAAGTACTACTCCGACCCTGACTGCGGCCACCCTCATGCGCAGTCAAACAGGGAGCGGTAGCGCAAGCAGTAGCGCTGGCCGCCGTTTCACTGTGCTTGACTTTTTCAAACCTGTTCCAAGGCAGGGGTGACCAATAAGAAAGCTCACGACATGATGAGTGAATGAACATGGGTAGATAGAGGACCGCCAGATTCACAGTATCTGGCTTGGTCTGACTACCCAAAATAAATTTTGAGTAGGTGGGGTAAGTCAGGCACGTGACAAACGTCTCTAATAATGATTCAATATGATAATATGACTCAATGAACTCATATCATAAAATACATGTCTTTTACTTTTAAAGAGTCATTATATTAGTTTCTATTATTGGTGTGGGTGATGAGACTCACAGGTCGTCTGCCTGCCAGGGATTCCGATGGCCCAGGGATAGCCTTGGGATTGAAAACTTCAAGTCAAGTGGCATCCACAGCGATGCGCAGCGTCTCAAAAATAGCGCAGCAGTTGTCGCCAGACCAAATTCCTAGGATGCGTGGAATTGCGAGCAACCTAACCTTCTCCTTCTGAAAAGGGTTCCCTCTTTAAAAACAGGAACCCTGTTAGTTGTTGACAACCTGGTGGACAACCGGCGTACTTCTACTGCACACAGACTGTTTGACACGTCCTCTTTGTGTGTTAGTTGGCTTCCGTGTTTTTTGTCAGCCGGCTCAGGCTTTACCAGCTTCAGCCTGCATTGCTTCAGAGGTCTTTCAAGTGACGCTTGCACAAGCAAAAAATACTATATAGTATATCTGTGATTGAAATTGAGTCTATGCTGTAGTACTATTAGTCACCAGTCAATCATAGTATACAAAACATCTTTGATTCATTCTTGTTATGCCTGACCTTATGAACCGATGAGTGTAGACAGTCTAGTCTAGTGGCAATGAGTTTTTTTTTGTTATTGTAGTGTGTTTTGAGAAATGTTCATCAAACGCAAAGGCAAGTCACTTAAGACCTTTCAGTTGTCTGTCACCTCCTGTTGTTGGATTTGAGGAACTTCGGAGACAAGCACGTTCTGGACCCAGCTTGGCAGATCAATGCGAAGAAGAGGAAGTCCATTCAGGGGATGGTGGCATCTTAGCAATCGGATTAATCAATTGTGTCAATTGAACTGACAAAATTCCCTCTGTCTGTCAGTGACCAAGTCGTCCCATTAGATATTGATTGAAAAGGGTGTAGTTTAGTGTCTAAAATGCACGGGAAACCTCACAACCAACCAAGACCATCCGTCATCCAGCAACCTACCACTACCAAGAGGTTGGCCACTCAATCTGACCATGACTCAGGCACTGGCCCAAGGGCTCAACCAGACTTTGCGGACAATGTGGAAGAAAGATCTTGGATGTTTGCCGCTGGGTTACCACAGTTATGGAATACAGGTAGTTGTCGTTACGTTGCAATCGGACCAAATAAAGACTCAAAAAGATGACCAAAGCAACCAGCGCTGACTAAATGCTTGGTACAGCATTCGGTAGCCAAAAGAATAGATTTTCTTTTGCATGCCTTCCTGATCATCCGATGACAATGGCTGCTTGGATTTGTTTACCAATTCCATGCCCAGGAAGCCTGCCGTTCCACTTCATGCTGGGAAGCCGCTGGCGGGGAGCTTTGCGCTACCTCCGTTGGATGAGCGGCCTATGCTCATCCTCGCGACTTGACGGTGCAACCAATGATCTCTAACAATTGACAAGTTGACGACGATCTCATTTATCCATGGTTCACAGCAGCCTACAAATTTTAAACCTTCGTGAGGATGCATTGACAGAACCGCACCGAATCCTAAATGGCTAACTCAATCGTTGGTGGTCTTTGAAGCAACCAGTGCAATGACTCTTTACTAATGAGCTTGAAGCAAACACCACAAAAGCTGCAGTGCAGTGGGTGTGTTGATTGCTCTCCTCCACAGTCTTTTCCACTTCAATGATCCAATCCTGCCAGGCATCGGACGAGGAAGCCTTGCAGTTTAAGACCTGCTACGCCTTGAGCTACGAGCTGGGCTTGAGATTGTGGATTTGTCAAGAGTCACAGCACTCATGTTGGAATGACGTGAGGAACTCACTTCGTAGAGCCAAAATGCAACACATAGTTCTCCTAGCAACGTCCATGAACAACTGCAGCCACGGTCCATACCGATCAGGACGGAACAAGCAGGTTCTGGAAGAATCCGCCAGGAATCTTGCGCAAAAGCTGACTGACAGTGACTTCCAGGAACTCTTAGACAATATGTCAAGTGACAGGGGGTACAATGACGACCAGGAAGAGGACGACCCGAATCTCCCTACAGACCCTCATGAAATCCCAAGCCTAAGCTGCATCAAAAACCTTCCAGAATTTGTGTCTTGCACTTCAATAAGTCCAACATGTTCTTTTGCAACATATGATACATGGGTCTGTTAGCTTTTAAACTAAGACATAAACCATCACATAGAATAGACTAGAAGCAGAAGCAAGTAATGATGGGCACATCTTGGTCCTGGTTCAGCGTCTTGACGTCCAAGTGCCCAAGGTGAAGACAAAATCGTGGTTCGCCTCAATTGGTGCGATGCGTTTCCTGGTAGAGAACTGGTCACTTATGAGCCTGATTCTCGACAACGCCTTGGAATATGGTTCAGTTCCTCGCCGGAGTCGGTCGGACCCGGCCCGGGGCAAACAGACGATTTACTATTTGTATCAATTAATTGCTGTTACTTGATTGATTTCTATCGTTCAGCATCAAACAGTAACAGCCAACAAAGTTTTACAATAGAACCAGACTCATCGGTGCCTAGACAGAAAAAATATGGATTAGCTGGCCTGGCCCCATTGTCTAGTTGCACATCTCAGGTGGATGATGGCCCTTGGAGAGACCCTGACCTCGAACTAGGCACCGGCTCCAGCCAGGACGAAGGTGACGAGGAGGACGCAGCTGAACATACCAACCCCAAGGACCAGGAAATTCCTGAGGAATTTCATGACCGCCCACAAACAAAATCTGAGATGCAAAAGCTCCGAGAGAAGTTTGAAAACAGCATGAAACTGGTAGCACACCTCTACCATGACCTGACGCTTCGGGATGAGATGAGGATGGTGTTTACTGCAGTTACCCCTTACATGAAGGGGTACTCCAAAGCACTGGAAGACCAGAAGTCTAAGGCCAGTCGTCGTCCAAACAAAGTTTCAAAGCACCTTTCAAATTGTGCACATATATATATATATGTTTGGGATTGTTTGGGTCATTCCTTAGCTTAGGTGCCTGTCAGTGTCCTTGCAAAACAGTAGAGTAATGGGACAATTGGTCAGCGATGCATGCAACTATAAAGGAGAAGTGCGTGGAATGGCAAGCTGGGAGGTGCGCTGGTGATTGGTACAGCACAATCCTGGAAAGTTTAGGGACGCTCCACGACTATGACTCTTTGAGACTGTTCATATCCTTACCGTCTATGAACGCTGGCCTGAATGATAGCCCTGGGCAAGACCCAAATGAACCGTGGATCCTTGAAGAAACCCAAAGGCTTGAATCCTACGTATGCTTGTTGGTGGAACTAGCTGCAGCCCGCGCTTGGAGCCAAATGATTTTCACCAACAGTGTCCCCCACATGTACGCTGGAGCCCTTCATCCTGATGACCAAATGGCGAAGGCGCTTCTTGAAGGCCAGCGCGACATTTGGCAAGCCGTCCTGCAAGCAGAGCAAATGTTGGAGGAGTCAGCTACTTCCAAGGGTTTGAAGATCCAACTCAAAAAGCTTCTCACTGATCTTGCTTGGAACCAACTCCAGTTGAGTCGAGAGATCTTTGTGAATTGCGAAGCCAATGGGTGGAACCACCAGAGCCCTGCAATCCTGGAACTCGCGACAGCCGTCTTTGCAGCCCCATTCAACACAAAGTATGATTTAGAGGACCTCTTTGCACACCTGACATCCGTATCGAAGCTTTCCTCCCTAGCCACGCCCATGGCAAAGTGCCTCAACTAATTTAGCAAAATATGGTCAGCTTGTAACAGCTGCTAATTTTAATGCTACCATGGACAGACCCACTAACTAGAAACATGTCATCATTACATTGCCTGTTTATTTAGTCAGTTGCCATCGAATGATTGATTGAGGTGGAGCCGCTTCTTTTACTGTACAACAATGCAGAGTCTGATGAGAAACGAACAAATGGCATGGTCACAGCTAGAAACAACTCTGGCAGACCATTGTGCTGCAGGGGCCCACAGTGCAAAAGTGGTGCTTGATTCAGGGAAATCCTTCAAGTCCAGTGAGTCACCGTTGCCCAAATGGATTCGAGATGGCTTGGTCCATATCAAGTTGGATCATGTCAAAAAAGCTGGGACAGCGTCAAACCAACGTGCAGCGGCTGCAAGTGCCTGGTTGAAATCAAACACGCGCACCAGCTTCTCTCATGCGAGCATGGCATGGACAGGCCAGGCGAATAATAACGACTACCCCTGTCTGACACTGTCTGTCTGACTGCTGCGTGTTGAGTCAAATCTGACCAGCCTTCCTTTCAAGGTAGCACAGTCAACGGGACCTTCCAAAGTGTAAACGCTAATCATAGAAATGAACGACTCTGGCAGGAATGTTTATTGAAGTATCTGCTGATTATTTTGCGTTTCTTGACTGGTCCAGGTGTCTTCTTTGTCAAGCACCACGCCTACATGAACTGCATCTCCAAAAGAGTCCTTCTATGTTTGGGTTTTCGAACTTGGGCAGCCTTGGGAGTTCCTCTTGTTCGGCATGAACTGGACCATCAGGCAGGTAGGGATGTTTTGACAACTACTTACTGCTGAGCTTAGTTGGTTTTGTGATGTTTTAGGTCTTCTCTTTGTCTTTGGAGTGAGTGTCCCAAATTTCACATCAGCCTGTTGATTCTGGCCAGGTGTTTTACACAATTGACTTGGCTCCTACATCCCGGTACCCGGTCTGGATGTACAACAACCGTGTGGAGATGAACGCTGAAAATGCTACTGGATGGGTTCATGTCCCACTACAAGTCGTCCATCCCAGAACGCTTCCACATGGGATGTATGGGAATCACTTCTTTGCATTTGTGCAATGCGGTCCCGCTGAGCCACTTATTCATTCTGCGATTCGCAACGGAGTTCTCATGACTCTTGCCCAGTTGAGGAGTGTTCAAGGGGTTTTGAAATACCCTTTGCCTGACAAGGGCAAAGGCCATGGAAAAAACGGCCGCCTCATCAAACGGGATTGGTGCCAAGGCCTAGTTGACTACCTGTTCCCCGACATGTCTGAGGCTGATCGCTCTCGACTGGTTGCTGGGCTGTTGGGGAATAATTGTCACCACCTCCAACCTCCAAGGTCTAAGTCCGGGTCATCGTCTTACCACACAGCTGACATACTAAAAGCGTTTGATGGTCTAGAAGCTGAAGACGCAAAAGAGTTCAGCGCCTTGGCAGCTGCAGCAAAGGATGAAGCCCTACTCAAGGAAAGGAGAGACAGGAAAGCCAGGGAGCAAGCAGTGACCCGGAGGAGCAACGCTCATGAGACGCCCAAAACATTGCGGGATTTGATTCCACCAGTTGCTGGCTGCCGGCTATCTCGACATCCAGCTCTTCGAAGGTACCAAGGGTTCTACACACGTCTCAAGGTCCCAGGTGATGGTGACGGTGACCCATCCAAGAGTCACTGTGCGTAACTTAAAACCTTGTCTTAGTGATCAGGTCTTGAGTGACATGTGTTTGTTTTCTGCTTCACTGAATTGTTTCTGCATCCATGGGAAACCCTGTGGCACTGGCACTCATGTTTTACTTGCAGTTGAAGGTCATGCCATGAAGGTATGAACAGGTGACAACACGTCGCATCGTCCAAGACCCAATTTTTATGCTCGAAAAGCCTGCTCTCAGTTTCAAGTTCAAAACCTTTGGGTCTATTTATTATTTATCTGAGTTATCTGTCTAATTATTATTGGCTGGTCAGTCAGTCTGTAGGTGAGAGGATGTATTCCCATGCTGCAAGCTGGGGTGGCAAGCGAAAGCAATTGAGCGAGTTCAGCGCGTTGAAAGAGGTGACTTCTTGGTTGTGGCGAGTGCACTATGAATTGGAGCCTGCTGCTGAAACAGACCAAATGCGACTTAGAGAGTTCAGCTGTTTTCTGCTATTTAATTGAGGGGGTCTGTACTAGTTTGCTTGCACGCAGGTGGTCAAAACAGGCAAAACAAAACAGACTGATGACGCCTTAATAGTCATAGGAAGCTGCTGTGACCCTGTGGTTGGTCCCCGCTCAATTTTGGTTGGACTCGGGATGGGTAGCTGGGTGTGGCAAGCAGCAAAGGCCCAGTGACGATGACATCCAAAGCGTGCTAGATCAGTTTGATGAAACAACCGGGTTTTTGGATCCTTCCCAACATTTCAAGTCCCTTTCGCAGCAGACCCCTGACAAAGGGCAAGCTGGAAGAGATGTTTGTGTGGCCACTCCTGCCAAGCCCAAAGGGTCTGCCAAGGAGAAACCCACAGAGCTTTCGCCAGCAGCAGAGTCTTCCAAGAAGACACGTGTTTCTGTTGCAATGCCATCCCCAAGTCTTAAAGCAGCTTCTTCAACACCAAGTTGTTCCTGGGCAACTCCTTCCAAACCCAAAGGGTCGCCCAAGGAGGCACCAGGACCAGCGGATTCAACTCTGCCAGCCACTTCTCCCAAGAAAGACAAAAAAATAAAGGACAAGGAGAAGAAGGTGTCAAAGACACCGCATGGCAAGGTCAAAAAGGACCATAAAACCAAAAAGTAGGATTCAAACAACGAGAAGCCCAGCTGTGCAAAAGGTTAAGGCGTTGCTGCTCGCATCTGGGCTGCACAGACAGGAATGGTAGCTGGGAGTGGGAGTGACTGAGGACAGGTCTTCATTGATTGGGACCCTGGAGTTGGTAAGAGCTCAGGGGTCACACCCAACAGGGTCACAGCAGCTTCCTATGAATATATGCAAAAAACAACAATTAAAAAAGAACTGCAGACCTCATTGGGGCATCTCTCCTGTTTGACTCTCTGACCATGTTCATTAATACCAAACAAGTGGTGCCATCCAGTTCCATGATTCCAGGGGATGTCATGTTGGAAAAACACACCTGGAACCCTTCATAGTTGGTAGGCGTCTGACCCGTTCACCACAACAGGTACCAGTCTAATTACCCATTAGTCTAAGGTACTTTGCACATATAGACCAGGACCCTCCGAGATTTAGAGGTATTTAGGGGTGTCCAACATACCTGCTGAATGCTGTTGCGTGGCCATACTGCTGTGGTGGACCCTGTCACCCAAAACCGGTGTCAGTCACCTGGGTCGCTCCCCAGGAAGAACATCAACATCCATCTGAACATCAACATCAACATCTCAACATCCTATTTATATGTATATAGCAGTAGCAGTGGAAACCTGGTGAGGTGCCAGGCCTTCTTGGGTCGTGTGCTTTGCTGGTCAGTTCCTACAGACAACGGACCGGACACCAGCGAGACACCAGGTCTGATATGTTGGACCGGTATCTTTTTTCACAGGGTACGCACCACAGGTCTGGGTGTGAAGTTTGAGAAACCCCTCCCCTTCTTTGAAATTGGTGATGACTTTTCTGATGTTAAAAGAATGTGTTCGAATCCCAAGGTGTCAACATCCCACGTTTCATGCAACATCGATCCACCTTGCCCAACGGCTCCCACTCGCCTTCCGGCAGTTCAACGGCTTCACCATTTGAGGTTCCTCCACTTCCAGCTCAGGGTAGTAAACCACTGAACCTGTGCTCATCGTGGCGTGGCCCATCGGCAGTGAGCTGGTGGATTGAACGAAAGACCGAAGGCAAAGAAACACCAAAAGAAGGAACATCAACTAAAGCCCATGAGATCCCGTTGGTGCATTTTGGACGGGGGGAGGAGCAGGCCAACAACAGGCCTGAACACAAAGCAAAGCCACAAAACCCAGTGGTTGGAAGTTGGAAGCGCTCTCTCTCTCTTACACAGGTATGGGTCAAAACTCTACAAACCCGGTCACACAAATGACACACCCCGCCACACACGTCACCGTGGTTTGGGCCGGTTAGGTCTTGAATGGTCTTGACCCACCGTCACATGGAAATGTTTGAAGGAGTTGAACGGATACAAATCAAGAACAATCCTGAGTACAAGCATGCGGGACACAGAAACTACGATCATACTTCAACCAAACATGAATAGGTACTAAACGATTTCCTTAAAAAGGCATCCTTGGGCAAATCACACTGAAGACATAGCGTATGATGTACACAATCTTCAACACTGTGAATCACTTGTGATAGCCATTCAACTGGGGCAAACCTTGTCACCCACCCCTTAACTTCCAATATCCTTGTAAGCTATGACCTTGAAACTGGTCATGAGTCAATCATGGCTGGTCACGTCAGTCATCTTCCGATCCAATCGGGCACCGATGGGCACCCAAAAAAGAATTGGTATCTGGTCCTGGCATGTGAACCCTCAGTACATCTCCCCCCTTTTTTGCTGAAAATCGAACTCAGCTGAACTCAGCTGCTTGGACTTGACGTTCTGCCACCCCAGGGCGGGGAGCGTCTGCCATCCACACCTGCCATGCCCACTGCCATGCCCCTCTCGCATCCTCCGCTGTCTGCATGCCTGCAAAGTCTGCCACCACGGCGTCCACGCCATCCATGGAGCCAGTCACCTGGAGCCGTCGAGTAGCTCGGTGGAGCGACAACATCGGGGCTGTCGGGTGAGGGTATGTCTTGATCAACCAGGGATGGTATTTCTTGGGTCTGATGTCTACCCCGAAAGAGAAGTCCTTTCACAAAATGAGTCGTCCGTTCCAGGAAGACCATCAACTCTACTTCACTCGACGACTCGATGTCCTTTCACGAGATTCCGATTGGACATTGCAGCATTGCATGCAAACCTCAGATTTGCCTTAAATACGCATACTTACCTGGAGGGTGGTTAGCAAAGCTGAGCTAAGTCTAACTTGGACTAATGAGTACTTATAGTAAGTACTTGGCTTTGATATTCATTCTTACAGTCTGCATATGTCTGCATGATTCAGTTCGGTTTTGAACATCAACACCGACGTCTGCTGCTGGTGCGATGTCGTCGTGCTCCTCGGCCGCCCGATCCGAGTCCTTTTCGGCGACCGCGCCGGGTAAGGAGACCGGAGACAGCAGGTTTAGTCCACTCCGGACTTGGGCGGCAACTCACAGGCGCAAATGCTGATTCGGGGTCAACCTGGATGTGTACCAAACTCATCAGGATCTGAAGTCTGAAGTCTATTGGAGTTGTACTGTAGTATAGACATATGTAGAAATGATGGATTTGCATGGTCTATTGTTTGTGTTGCCTTCTGTTGTGTCTCATACAAGCTCTGTCAACCCCCCTCCAAGTCTATTCTCAATGCGTTTGATAGAGTCCAACAAATGGATTTTGCCGAACAAATACATGTCTTGCTAGCGGATTTCATGCTGTTCACTGGAGACCACAAGGGACTCTTCTGGTTTTGGTGCCTCTACAAATATTTACTGATATCTGCTGTTGAATTGGTCATAGCAGCGCAAACTCCAAAAGCTCTCCAAAAACCGGAGAGGGTGTTCCAACATGGTTCAACACCCTCTTTCCAGGGCTCAACTGGATTACCAGTATGTCAAATTCTCTCAGTCATAGAGCATTGAACCGCATCACGGCTGCCGGAGCGCCAAAGGCATGCAAGGAGATCACAGCGCGGAAGCGGCATCCGGAGCACTTAAAAGAAAGCCTCAAAGTTCGAAAGCCCACACGATCAATCTGACATGTCATGAAATGTCAAAAACCACCTATAGTTCAAGGAGTACTTGTTCCAGTACCCGTTTGTCTCAAACGTGCTAAGTGGGAACAAGAAGGCGATCTCACATCAGTGAGGGAAGGACTCCAATGAATTTTGAGGAACTTTGGATCTCTTGGGCTTGTCCCATGCGCTCAATATGTGGGTCAAACCCGGACACCCTGGTTGACCACCAAGAATGAACAAACGAGGTTTTGACCCACAGCCGCAGTATCATATTTCTGAGTGTTTGCTTCTGAGCTCCGAGTGCTGCTGTGATCCGAATTCAGTAGACACGACCAGGTTTGCCTTTCTTAAGAAGGCATGCGAGCCTGGGCGGGCTGCCCATTTGTTGGGCTGCCTTTCCACAACAGGTCACTGATCGAGTCCCCAAAAAAGAGAGTCTTGGGACACTGCTGCGGAATCACCGTTGTTTTTTCCGCTGGAGAAAGAGATGTTCGTTCGCCGGACAGGGTGTATGTTGATGTGAAGAGTCGACGGAATTGAACAAGAACCCGATCTTTGGCTGCTCAGGTGTCTTTAAGTGAGGAGGTCATGTCACAAGGCTTCGAAAACGACAAATTCCACCCATATCGCTGGGCAATGGACCCGGAGCGCTCTTAAAGAATCTCCCCCAAACTGCATGAGTGCGAGGGACAAAATATACTGAGACCCATAACTTGAAGGTACACGAGACCCATAGCTTGAAGCAAGAATGTGCAAGAATCATCTCAAGCAAATGTTGATCGCAGCTTGATCACCCCACATTCAATCACCTTGATCACCCCATGTGATTGACGATATCGGGACCATCGGTGACCTCGCGGACCTATGCACTCCTGTGAAGGCCAAGCGTTCGCCTGGAACCACAGTGTTCGCAGCGAGATCGATCTGCGCTCCAGTGGCAAAGCTTGGCCCCTCACAGTGGCTACAAGACTGAATGATGCGTCTCAATAATGGAGTCGTTACTTTCTTGGCACCTTAAGTCACATCAAAAGCATGCTTTGAAGTGGGCATACTGTTCACGCAGCAAACGTCGCACACCAACACCAAACATCACACATAGTTTATGTTTTTATGCTGAGTCTACGTTTTGAAGTAGACACCCCATGGGCACACTGTTTACACAGCAGTCTTCTTGTTTTGGTTTTTAATGTGCAAAGCATACACTGATCAGTTAACCTTGACAGGTTCCCTTCACTGGGAAGATAAAGCATCACACCATCAGCAAAGCGTCAATGCTCCTTGAAATTTCTGAATTCGGCTGGTTGGCCTCTTCAACGATGTTCTTTGCATCAGGATTGGGGCACATGGGGCACCCCTGGCTAACCGAGGCGACGGTACCTGTTGCC